GGTGTTGCTTTTCCTGAGTTTGTTCCCCGAAGTGACCCCAGTGACTGTGATGCGTTGGCAGGTTTCTGAGTGGGAGCGGAAGTGGAGTCCCAGAGTTCACACCTCACAGGAGCGGGGAGCCCACAAACAGCAGCCAGTTCTGCTTCCTGAGCAAAGTGTCTTCTGCTCACATCTCCCTCCTAGGTCTCAGGTTATGAAGGGCACCATCCATTTCCTATGTGCAGGCAGCTGAGCAGCCACCTCTGGCCCAAGAGCCTCAGCAAAATTAACACACCCAATTCCCACCAGCTAGTCATTGGTGCAGTACACAGGGAAACTGAGGCACCCACAGTATTAGTACAGGACAGTAAGACTCAAATGCAACATAACAAGGTGAAAAAAAAACACTTTGTCACATCCTCTATCCAAAGGAACATTTTGTTGGTGTCGCTTTTACTAAGTCTGTTCCCCCGAGGTGACCCCAGTGGGTGGGATCCATTGGCAGGTTTCTGAATGGGAGCAGAAGTGGAGTCCTGGAGTTCACACTTCACAGGAGTGGGGAGCTCACAACCTCCAGCTAGTTCTGAAAACCTCAGATTCACCTTGAGAGGATGGTGAAGGCTCAGGCTCCCTCTTCCAGCCTTTCCTCTGCATCCCTCCCAACGAAGAGTCCCTGCCAGAGTGGTAGTCGATTTCCCTCTGGCATGACAGAGAGATCGTGGTTATGGCAAGGAATTCAGGACACCTGGGTTCTGTTTGTCATCCTGCCACTCAATCTCTGTGTGACCTTGGCCAAATAACTTCCCCTGTGCCTCAGTTTACCTATCTGTTTAATGGGGCTATGCTCATAGTGACTTTCCGTTGCTAGGTTTTTTGAACATCCTTCAATTGAAGGTGCTGCACTGTATGTTGATAGGTTTCAGTGGTAGCCATGTTAGTCTGTATCAGCAAAAAAAAAAAAAGAAAAAGAAAAAGACACGAGGAGCCCTTGTGGCACCTTAGAGACTAACAAATTTATTTGGGAAAAAGCTTTTGTGGGCTAGAACCCACTTCCTCAGATGCATGGAATGAAAGCTACAGGAGCAGGTATAAATACATGAAAGGATATGGGGTGCTTGACCACCCACAGTCTAATGAGATAAATCAATTAACAGCAGGATTCCAAGGGAGGGGAAATAACTTTTGAAGTGATAAGAGAGTGGCCCATTACAGACAGTTGACAAGAAGGTGTGAGTAACAATAGGGAGAAATTAGTATTGGGAAAATTAAGTTTAGGTTTTGTAATGACCCAACCACTCCCAGTCTTTATTCAGGCCTAATCTGATGGTATCTAGTTTGCAAATTAATTCCAGTTCTGCAGATTCACGCTGGAGTCTGTTTTTGAAGATTTGTTCTTGAAGAATTGCCACTTTGATGTCTGTTACTGAGTGACCAGAGAGATTGAAGTGTTCTCCTACTGGTTTTGAATGTTATGATTCCTGATGTCAGATTTGTGTTCATTTATTCTTTTGGGTAGAGATTGTTCGGTTTGGCCAATGTACATGGCAGAGGGACATGGCTGGCACATAATGGCATATATCACATTGATATTACTGGTGAGAATGAATGATCTCTGATCCCTTAGCAACAGACCTGTGTGCCTGAAGAAAGTGCTTGTGTCTCTCCTCAGGCATCATTCCATAGGTATGTCTGTCTTGTACCTACCCATCCCACCTAGGAATTTACAGGGTATCAGACCACATGGAGTTTTAAGAATTATCACTAGTTTTCCTACTAATCAACTATAATTTGTAAATATACACAAATGCCCAGAGCAGCCAATTCCTCTCTGACTCAGCACAGAGCCCCAGAGTTCTCATCTCCCTTTGGGAAGGTCCCTTAATTACTGTTTACTCCTAAAGCTGGATAAAGAGCACAGAAGCCCAGACAGGCTTGTCTCCAGCCTGTTTACATTCAGATTCTCGGTTACCCGCTAGAGGCTGAGCGAACCCCCCTGGGATTGCACAGAGCTATATTATAAATGGTGCACATCTCCGTGTCAGCTCTCGGTGTGCGATGTTGCTGCAGATGCTGGGGTGAGAGGCGTGTGGGACACGGCTACCTGAGGGGGATTGCCGGGGAAGACACTTCCATCTAAGAATTCACAGGTACCCATCTCTTGCTGAGGAGCTCACCTGCTTGACAAACCCAGTAAAAAGTGGGCATGGTGGGATAAATATTAGGTGTGTGGTCCTTTCCACCCTGCACAGCCATTAAACATCCAAGGGCCCTTGCCAGAGGGGATAAGTTTGCGTCAGTATCATTGGTTAAAATGTCCCTCTTTGCTGTGCTCTCCCGGGCTGATGGCCTCCAGCCCCAAGGTGGCTGCATTTCAGTGCCACAGTGGATCCTTCAGGATGAAATGTGTCAGTAGATGTACAATACAGGGCCAAATTCTGAGGCCCTGGCCTGCAGTTTACCTTGGCCCCAATGAGGCAAAACTCCCTTTGGAGTAAGAACTGAGTAAAGACCTCAGGGCTCTGGTTGTTAACGGGGGACCAGGGGCTGTTACCTGACTTCTGTCTCCATGGACGTGCTTGGGCTCCTCACTCAAACAATTATAAGAGTAAATATGAATGCCTGACCCATTTTCTTTATCAATAGATTCATAGGGTATGAGGCCAGAAAGGACCGTTAGATCGTCCAGTCTGAATTCCTGTATAACAAAGGGCATTAAATTTCATCCAGGTGCCCCTGCATTGAGCCCAATGACTTGTGTTTGACTAAGGCCTGGTCTACACAGGGGTTTTATATCACAGAATCATACAGCCACAGGGTGAGAAGGAACCGCAATAGTTAGCTAATCTAACCCCCTGCCAAGATGCAGGATTTGTTGTGTTTAAGCCATCCAGGACAGATGACTGTCCAGCCTCCTTTAGAAAACCTGCAGTAAAGGAGCCTCCACGATTTCCCTAGGCATTGGTTCCATTATCCTCCTGTTCCTACATTTAGGGAGTTTATCCTGAGATTTAATCTAAATCTGCTATGCTGTGATTTGAACCCATTGCCTCTTGTCCTGCCCTGTGTGGGAAGAGTGAACAACTTTTCTCTATCTTTTTTATGACAGCCATTCAAGTATTTGAAGACTGCTGGAATGTCCCCCTCAATCTCCTCTTTTCCAAACTAAACATACCCAGTTCCTTCAGCCTTTGGTCATATGGCTTGAATTCTCTCCCTTTCATTATTTTTGTCACTTGCTTCTGGTCATTTCCAGTTTCTCTACATCCTTCCTATACATTGGTGACCAAAATTAGACACAGTACTCCAGCTCAGGCCAAACCAGCACCCAGTGCAGCGGCACTATCACCTCCTTTGACTTGCATGCTATGCCTCTGCTAATGCATCCAAAAATTGCATTTGCTTTTTTTTGCAACAGCAAAAAAATCCAAACCCGTGAGAGCTGTAGGTATATCAGCCTAATCCTGATATACATGGCATGCGGTCGATGGAAGAATTTTTGTATCCACTTAGCTACTGCATCTTGGGGAGGTGGATTATCTACGCTTATGCGAGAACTCCTGCGGTAGGTGTAAGTAGTGTCTACACTGAACTACTAAGGCAGCACTACTGTAGCATTTTAAGTGTAGACAAGTCCTCAAGCAGATCTTCCAGAAAAAATAACCAGTCTGGATCTATAGACATGAGGTGCTGCAGAATCCATCACTTCCCTTTGCAGTTCATTACAAATATTAATCACCCTTATTTCCAGCTGGAATTTGTCTGGCTTCATGTTCCAGACATTGGGCCATACTCTGCCTTTCTCCACTAGATTACAGAGTCAGTTATTTGTGTGTATGTGTGTGTGTGAGTGTGTAGATAGATAGATAGATAGATAGATAGATAGATAGATAGATAGAGTGCTTTCCCCCCCCAACTGTTGCCCTCACTTTGCCACTGAACAGAGTTTTTAGCCAAAGTTGTCTACATGCTTGACTGTAGAATTGTGGCTTCTTAGCTATATAATAAACGTTTCATAAAGAACACCCAATTCTCATGCACATTTTTCTCTCGAAATTTTTCCTCCCAATCAGTTTTGCTGATAATTTGCTTCAGCTTAGGAGAATTAGCCCTTTTGAAGCACCAAGTGTCCATAGATATTACTGTTTGGGAACTGTTTTCTCTTTGTCCATTTGAATGTAATCAGTTCCGTTCTTTATTTTCCTATCCTCTATCATAAGCCCCCTTCTTTGTCTCTTCTATAAACTAAACTGTCCCAGACTTTTCAATCCGCATATGATTGCCTCTCCCATTCTCATAGCATATCTCAGAAAACCCCTTTCTATTTGCTATATCCTTTAGAGAGACTGGGTGTCCAAAACTGAGCACATGTCCAGAACAGGGTATTCTCCATCCCATTTCTTAGTCATCCCATCATTGTCTTTGTTTTAGCCACTACTGCAAATGAGCAGGTGTTTCCATTGAGCTGCAATCAATGATGCCCAGGTCTTTCCCCTGTGTTCTAGTTGGGATGTTTCGCTCTGGTATATGTTTATCAAACCTTTGGGGTTTTTTCAACTCTCAGATTTTGAGCAACCGGATGAATGGAGAACTCCCTACAGAATGGACTCTCTATTCTGGGTTTCACTGCATTAAGGAACAATGATGGATAACCAGTATCCACACTCGTGTTTCCTACTGGTGCCTATTAATGTTTCCCAAACCACAATGAATAGGAATTATTGAGGAAGGGATCACCATAAAATATGGAATTGGTATTTGTAGGGTCATGTGTTCATAATTCATATATCTGAATAATGAAAATATCATTTTTCATTGTGTGAAGAGCAACCAATCTGCTTCACCCATTAGAATGGCCTCCAGTAGTACATGTAGTGTCTCCAATTAACATTTTCTCTCCATCCAGGCATTTGTACTGCGACCATCACCCTAGACCCTGGGCACATACAGGAAGTCAGGGGAACGTACGGTACATGTAGGAGACACCTTTCTGCCTCAGAGTTGGACACCTTCTCCCCTACTCTATGTCAGATTCCAACACAACCGACTTCACCAACCCCTCCACCTTCATCCTGCTGGGCATTCCTGGCCTGGAGGCAGCCCATGTCTGGATCTCCATCCTCTTCTGCACCATGTACGCCATAGCCATCTTGGGGAACTTCACCATCCTGTTCATTGTGAAGACAGAGCCGAGCCTCCATGGGCCCATGTACTATTTCCTCTGCATGTTGGCTGTCACTGACCTCATCCTAACTACGTCAACCCTGCCCAAAATGCTGAGCATCTTCTGGTTCAATTCCAGGGAGATCGATTTCAGTGCCTGCCTCACCCAGATGTACTTTATTCACTGCTTCTTAGAAATGGAGTCTGGGATCCTAGTAGCCATGGCTTTGGATCGCTACGTAGCCATCTGCGACCCCCTGAGACATTCCACCATCCTGACAAACCCCGTTGTGGCCAAGATTGGCCTGGCTGTGGTGCTGCGTGGTGGCATGCTTGTACTGCCCTCTGTCCTCCTGGCAAGGCACTGGCCATATTGCAGAACCAACATCATCCCCCAGCCGTACTGCGCGCATATAGCCGTGGTGAATCTGGCCTGCGCCGACATCCGAGCCAGTAGTTATTATGGCCTCTTTGTGCTATTCTGTGTGAGGGGTCTGGATGTGATTTTTATCACCATGTCCTATATCCAGATCCTCAAGGCCATCTTCAGCCTCCCCACAAAGGACGCCCGGCTCAAGACTTTTGGGACCTGCGTCTCCCACCTCTTTGTCATTTTAATCTTTTACATCCCAGCGCTCTTCATCTCCCTCATGTACCGGTTTGGCCAGAATGTGCCTGGGTATTTCCATGTTCTCATTGCCAGTGTGTACCACTTGATGCCCCCCACACTAAACCCTATCATCTATGGGGTGAGGACCAAACAGATTTGGGGCAGGCTGCTCCGGGTCTTTACTCATGAAGGGGCCTAATTGTTTCTCCTCAGGCTCTGACTCTGAGATTGAGTTCCGTGCTAACTCACTAACTTACAGGATTGCCACCTTTCTAATTGCTGGTAACTGGAGCACTGAGTCCATGTGCCCTTTCCCGCCTGTTCCCCAAGGTCCTGCCCCCTCCCCCACTCCTAAGTATTCTCACAAGTCCCCGCTTCCTTCTCCACCTCTTCCCTCAACAATACACCTCTGTTCTGCCTCTTTCCCCAAAGCCACAGCCCTGTTGCTAGCTCCTTTCCTCCCCAACCCCTTACACTTGCTGGATCATCTCCACATCCCTCCCCCCTGCCAGCTGCACTGCCTCTGCTTCGGGGCTGGGACAGGAGCTGTTTCAGGCTGACAAGGAGCCTGCAGTGAGTGCAGCAAGGATTCAGTGTTGGGGCCAACAGGCAGATGAGAAGTGGAGAGGGAAGCCAGGAATCCCTGTAAAAGAAGCAGCAGGTTGGGAGCAGGATTGTGTTGCAGGCAGGCAAGACTGTGCATCATACAGGTTGTTGTCCCTAAAGCTCAGCTACAAAGTCCTGAGGGAAGAGACCCTTGTGTGGCTTATTTCTTTAGCTTTTAGTTCCCTTTTGTTCCTCCTGACTGGGAGCCTGTAGCAAGCAGGGTCCCTGAAATGGTTATGGGCTGGGAGACCTTTGCTGTAAGCCAGGCCTTGGGGGCAGGGCTGTGGATCAGCATTGAAGTGAGGAGGACAACAGCTGAGAGAGGCGGAAGGATAACCCCTGTGTTAGCTGGGAAGGAGGGATGCTGGGCAGAGGCTGGGGTGGTTTCGGTGGCTCACAAGGAGGGAGATAAACAGCACACCTACCATTAGCCAGCTATTTACACATGTACACGGCACCTTATCTGGAACTACAGGGCACCCATTGCCCTGGGGCTGAAGCTGAAAAGTGAAGCTGAGTCTAACATACGCTCTGCATGATGCTTTTGATCACTACATCTAGAATCTCCTTAGCTCGGCTGCTAGGCAGCATTATCCCCATGTTATCGATGGACTGAGCCATGCTGCATTAAAGTGATTTACTCAAGGCCACACAATGAGTCGGTGGGAGAGCTGAGAACAGGAATCGGGAATCCTGACCCAGCCTCCCCACAGCACCATTGCTCTGACCATGAACTGGCATTGCTTCTCTGCGTTGTGTTAGATGCAGTGAGGCTATTTGTGTGTCGTGATAAGTGGAATTTCAGTCCTTCTTAAATAGGAGGAGCTAAAAACTACAGCCACAAAAGCAGGTTTCTACACAGCTCAGTTTTCAGCCTTCTCTTGCTGGTTTACCAGGGACCACATGCTGCCTGGAACTCTGCCCAGTGCATACAGCCCAGTGATGTTGTAACAGTGACCCCCATAAGGCTTTATGGAATATGTTTATGAATGTATATATGACATAACTGGAATATGTTTCATGTTCCATATGCCATGTAACATATCCCTGTAAAGGTTATGATCTACTGAATACATTCCTCCTATTTGCATGCATGTAACATTTTTGTACTTGAAGTTATGAATATTGGCTGTGTACTTTCTTGATTTCTAAGTTAACTTTGTAAGGCATATGGTCAGCTTCTTTAGAAAGGAATTTGCAAAGTTAAGTGCCCAATCAAGAAGCAGTTAAGGACCAATGCATCTTGGAATGCTCCAATCCACATAAG